CAATGGTTCTCAGTGTTAGTCAGTTGGGAAACATGCACAGAGAAGTAAAAATTGCATAGGTATATGCAAGGGAAGCAGTTTCTAGTTGTTTCTTGCAGTCTGAAGAATAAGTTAACATGGCAATACAGAAGTAGAAAGTTCTGAGTATTAAAAGGCAAAAGCTACCAAATGGTGATTAAGATCTCCTTTTCAATACTCTGCCTTCCACGACTAGACAGAATGAAAGTTGCACTATATCACTGAAGTTCAAAAGAACCTGTTAATAAGCTTAACATTACAACAATGCTCAAGTGATTTGATGACTGGGCAGAGGAACTCACTTATTTCTGCAGTCCATGTGCATAGTAAATTCCTGTTCAGGAATTGTAGAGAACTTGGCTTAACAGGAAATAACTTTGAAAGATCAAGAATAAACCCACTATATTCTTCATCACTTTCTAATAATTACTCAAATGATTGAGTGAATTTATTTAACAATGTTTTGTGACTGGATATGTGTTTTCCCAAGTTATTAACTTATAAAACAAATGAGTTCATATCTCTTTAAATACAAATGTATAAGGGATTACATAAAAAGAATGCCTTATAATTATTGTGCCATTCAGAAACAAACAAGTATAAAAACAATTATTTCCCCCTAGAGTGGATAACACTTCCAGTTTAACAGTCACTGGCAAAGTAATTTGTGAAGTTTATTAAGATTATGGCTTTGCAGGCTCTAATTTATTGAGACAAAGCCTCATTTATGCAAAAACATTAGGACATACTACTGACTCATTTTATATCAAATATTCTTCCTGGAAGAAATTTTTCCACATAATTACTTCAAATAAATGAGGTGTTAATAGTTGGTGAACCAACTCTCTTTAATCTGTTTTTGAAACAATACATACTCGTGGAAAAATAGCTTAAGATTTTTCAAACTGAAAAATAACTTGATAGTGAAACAGATCAAGTAACTGGTATTTCTAAATAAATTATTTTAGTTGACTAAACATATCTCTTTTTTTATGCTTTTACAATATAATGGTTAGATCTCAAAATTGATAATTCATTTCGCAGATTGTTGTATAGACAAAAATTGTCGTCCGATCAAATTCTCAGTTTAAGAAGCTTTTATATCCTCTTCCATTGGGTTGTACTAAATCTAATACGAGCAACATTCAAATCCACCCATAAAGGAAAGACTGGTGAATTTAATGAACGTTATCATAGTCTGACACATCTAAGTACGTAGTCCTGTTAAAAAAGGGGAATCTTAAACAAAACTTGTGATGCAGATACATGAACTACGCTCTCTTCAGAGTCTGCTCAGCCCTGCTAAGAGATCCTTTTAATTGGAGGCCAGGTGGAGTTACGTGGCTCCTGGGGTAAACTGACTACATGGTTCCTAAATCAGGTTGGATAATCTCATCATGCCTACATGCACTGCGCAGCATCTAAGTGGAGTCTCCTGGATACTGGAAACAGAAGAGTATCAAAAACGTTACTAGTAACCATTGCCTTAGTGGTAAGGCACCTTCTACTCACAATGACATCTGAAACCTATCATGTCAAATAGCAAAACGGTGGAACTTGAAAGAAAGTAGAACATGACATCTCAACACCACCACAGATCAACACTTTCTTTTTTCTTAATTAGATTTAAGGTCCTGAAAGCGTTTCAAGGAGACATACTTTCTTTGTAGTCCAAAGGACATTTTTTTTTTTCAATTCACTCCTCCTTGTGAAAATAAGAATACAAATGAAACCATAGGTGTATCATAATGGGAAGCTCTGCTTATGAGATGTATGTCTGTAGTGGGTTTACGTGGCAAGGCTTTGGTAGCAGGGGGCCATAGGGGTGGTTTCTGTGAGAAAGATCTAGAAGCCGCCCCATGTTTGGGAAGGGCCCCATTGTTTTCCAAATCTGAGCCAATAAGCGATGTTGTTTTGCGCCTCTGTGAGAGCATATTTAAGACAGGGAAAAAACTGCTGCGCCACACAGCAGCCGGGAGAGTCAAGGGAGTGAGAAACAGCCTTGCAGGTGCCAAGGTCAGTGTAGAAGGAGGGGGAGAGGTGCTCCAGGCGCCGGAGCAGAAGTCCCCTGTGGCCTGTGGTGAGGACCATGGTGAAGCAGGATGTCCCCCTGCAGCCCATGGAGTACCACGGTGGAGCAGGGTTCCACGCTGCAGCCCGTGGAGGAGACCACGGTGGAGCAGGTGGCCCTGCACCGACGGAGGCTGCCGCCTGTGGAAGACCCCTGCCGGAGCAGATTCCGGGCCGGACCTGTAGCCCGTGGAGAGGAGACCACGCAGGAGCAGGTGATCTGGCAGGAGCTGCTGCCCGTGGGGGAGCCAGGTTGGAGCAGTTTTCTCCTGAGGGATGGACCCCGTGGTACGGACCCATATCTGGAGCAGTTCTGGAAGAGCTGCTGCCTGTGGGAAGCCCACGCCGGATCAGTTCATCAAGGACTGCATCCCGTGGGTGGGACCCCACAGCACAGGGGACGAGAGTGACCGAGAAGGAGCGGCAGAGAAGAAGTGCTGTAGACTGACCATAACCCCCATTCCCCCGTTCCCCTGCGCCGCTCGGGGGGAGGAGGTGGAAGAGGGTGGATGGGGGGGGAGGTGCTTTTGGTTTCTTTCCTTTGTTTCTCACTTCTCTAGCTTGTTAGTAATGAGCAATAAATCTTACTATCTGTCTTCTTATGCTGAGTCTGGTTTGCCCGTTACACTAATTATTGCGTGATTTTCTCGTCCTTATCTCAATCCTTGAGCCCCTTTCACATATTTTCTCCCCATTCCTCTTTGAGGAGGGGAGTGAGAGAGCGGCTGTGGTGGAGCTCGGCTGCCCACTCGAGCAGAACCACGACAGTCCTTTTTGGCGCCCAACGTGGGGCTCAAGGAATTTGAGATAAGGATGATAGTTGGTAGAAGTAACGGGCAAAATATGCGCAGGATGATTGTTAAGAATGTACAAGTTGTGAAGAATTTAAGAAAGCAGTAACTGTGAGATGTTAGTGTGGTGAAGGGACGAGGGGTGGTGTGTGTGTAAAATGTCCACCTTGTCGGTGCTGTGATGATGTTATGTTTATTTTGGTGTGGTGAATTTTGTTTTCTTTTTGATTTAAGTGAAGGTTGTTGTGATAATTGTAAAGTAAGAGTATATTGTGAGTAATCTTAAATATGCTTTTCACAGAGGCGAGGGGTGGAATGTAGTGGGTTTACGTGGCAAGGCTTTGGTAGCAGGGGGCCATAGGGGTGGTTTCTGTGAGAAAGATCTAGAAGCCGCCCCATGTTTGGGAAGGGCCCCATTGTTTTCCAAATCTGAGCCAATAAGCGATGTTGTTTTGCGCCTCTGTGAGAGCATATTTAAGACAGGGAAAAAACTGCTGCGCCACACAGCAGCCGGGAGAGTCAAGGGAGTGAGAAACAGCCTTGCAGGTGCCAAGGTCAGTGTAGAAGGAGGGGGAGAGGTGCTCCAGGCGCCGGAGCAGAAGTCCCCTGTGGCCTGTGGTGAGGACCATGGTGAAGCAGGATGTCCCCCTGCAGCCCATGGAGTACCACGGTGGAGCAGGGTTCCACGCTGCAGCCCGTGGAGGAGACCACGGTGGAGCAGGTGGCCCTGCACCGACGGAGGCTGCCGCCTGTGGAAGACCCCTGCCGGAGCAGATTCCGGGCCGGACCTGTAGCCCGTGGAGAGGAGACCACGCAGGAGCAGGTGATCTGGCAGGAGCTGCTGCCCGTGGGGGAGCCAGGTTGGAGCAGTTTTCTCCTGAGGGATGGACCCCGTGGTACGGACCCATATCTGGAGCAGTTCTGGAAGAGCTGCTGCCTGTGGGAAGCCCACGCCGGATCAGTTCATCAAGGACTGCATCCCGTGGGTGGGACCCCACAGCACAGGGGACGAGAGTGACCGAGAAGGAGCGGCAGAGAAGAAGTGCTGTAGACTGACCATAACCCCCATTCCCCCGTTCCCCTGCGCCGCTCGGGGGGAGGAGGTGGAAGAGGGTGGATGGGGGGGGAGGTGCTTTTGGTTTCTTTCCTTTGTTTCTCACTTCTCTAGCTTGTTAGTAATGAGCAATAAATCTTACTATCTGTCTTCTTATGCTGAGTCTGGTTTGCCCGTTACACTAATTATTGCGTGATTTTCTCGTCCTTATCTCAATCCTTGAGCCCCTTTCACATATTTTCTCCCCATTCCTCTTTGAGGAGGGGAGTGAGAGAGCGGCTGTGGTGGAGCTCGGCTGCCCACTCGAGCAGAACCACGACAGTCCTTTTTGGCGCCCAACGTGGGGCTCAAGGAATTTGAGATAAGGATGATAGTTGGTAGAAGTAACGGGCAAAATATGCGCAGGATGATTGTTAAGAATGTACAAGTTGTGAAGAATTTAAGAAAGCAGTAACTGTGAGATGTTAGTGTGGTGAAGGGACGAGGGGTGGTGTGTGTGTAAAATGTCCACCTTGTCGGTGCTGTGATGATGTTATGTTTATTTTGGTGTGGTGAATTTTGTTTTCTTTTTGATTTAAGTGAAGGTTGTTGTGATAATTGTAAAGTAAGAGTATATTGTGAGTAATCTTAAATATGCTTTTCACAGAGGCGAGGGGTGGAATGTAGTGGGTTTACGTGGCAAGGCTTTGGTAGCAGGGGGCCATAGGGGTGGTTTCTGTGAGAAAGATCTAGAAGCCGCCCCATGTTTGGGAAGGGCCCCATTGTTTTCCAAATCTGAGCCAATAAGCGATGTTGTTTTGCGCCTCTGTGAGAGCATATTTAAGACAGGGAAAAAACTGCTGCGCCACACAGCAGCCGGGAGAGTCAAGGGAGTGAGAAACAGCCTTGCAGGTGCCAAGGTCAGTGTAGAAGGAGGGGGAGAGGTGCTCCAGGCGCCGGAGCAGAAGTCCCCTGTGGCCTGTGGTGAGGACCATGGTGAAGCAGGATGTCCCCCTGCAGCCCATGGAGTACCACGGTGGAGCAGGGTTCCACGCTGCAGCCCGTGGAGGAGACCACGGTGGAGCAGGTGGCCCTGCACCGACGGAGGCTGCCGCCTGTGGAAGACCCCTGCCGGAGCAGATTCCGGGCCGGACCTGTAGCCCGTGGAGAGGAGACCACGCAGGAGCAGGTGATCTGGCAGGAGCTGCTGAGCAGAACCACGACAATGTCACCTCTTAAATCTCTCTGATAAAGAATATCACAACCACAGAATGACTGAGTTGGAAGGAACCTTTTGGAGGTCAAACCCCCTGCTCAAAGCAGGGTCACTGAGAGCAGGATGCCCAGGACTGTGTCCAAACAGCTCTTGAATATTTCCAAGAATGGAAACTCCACAGTCTCTCTGGACGACCTGTTCCAGTGCTGTCACTCATGGTAAGAAGAAATAAAATTCTTTATGTTAAGCTGGAACCTCCTGTATTTCAGTTCATGTCCCTTGCCTTTTGTCCTGTCACAGGACACCACTGAAAAGAGCCTGACTACATCTTCCTTACTGTCTTCTTTCAGATACTTTTACACATCAGAATTTCCCACTCTGAGTCTTCTCTCCTATAAGGAGAGCTGAGCTCAGCTCTCAGTCCCAGCTCTATTAGCCTTTCCTCATTGGAGAGATGTTCCAGTCCCTTAATCATTTTAGTGGTTCTTCACCTAATACCCTAACAAAATAAAAATCTTCTCCCTAGACTGAGCCCCTACCTGTCCTGAGATTTGACTGCATAAGTTTTCCAATTGTTATCTTCATAAACAGGCAGCAAAATATAGAACAAATTTATCTTTTGACTATGAGAAAGTCTTCTGTAATCACTCGAAGGTTTATAGAGGTGAACATTAGAGAAAAACACCTATCATTGAATTCAACTGGTAGGACTATGCTAATCTTCAGTGTACAACTCCACAGACCAAACTCATTTCTGTATCTACTGTCTCAAGTGGCAGATGTATTCATAATATATTAACACTCCGGAGGATTTCCCATCTCTTATGTTAATCCAGTAAATGGATAACATACGTGATTTACATAAGGAGTATCAATGTCGTTTTTAAAGCTTGGCAAAACCAGCTTCCATTCTCAAGTTTTTGCTGTTTTGTTTTAGCTTTTTGTTTTGTTTCTATTTAAGAAAACTCAAAGAAATGTATTTTTAATATGGATCAAACTCTTGGAATACAGTAACTTCAGTGCTTGGAAGATAAGTAAAAAGAATTACAATTAAAATACTTTTTGTTTGTTTGTTCTACTGATGACTTTCACTGCTTCTTTTCAGCAGATTATTAAACAAGTCCGGTTAAGCTAACAAACACTACAGATGCAGATATGTTACTCCTTGGAACTCAGTGTTCAATCTAAGCCTTTTTTTTTCAACAAGATAAATCATATTCTGGTTTAAAAAACAAAAACAAACAAACAAAAAAAACCCTGTGTTGGGAACAAAGATCCAGGAATTTATCACTGTGGAGGTACTTCTCCCTCTCAACATTCATACATGCATGCACTGTGGAAGAGAGCGATCCTCCAGATTTACAAGAGGAGCAAAAAATGACTGTCAGAGTGCATCTGCTTCCCAGTGGCCTCCTAATCCTCTCTAGTGCTGAAGTAGAGTGAACGAGTTAAAAGGAGTCAAAAAACAGAAAAATTAGTGGCATTAGAAAACAAAAAATCCTCCTCCCTCCTCCCCCCCCCCAAAAAAAAAAAAAAAAAAAAAAAGGTAAATTTATACTTACTTTCTCACCAATTAATGACATCAACCTATAGATTTTTCATACCACTATCAAGACGACTTTGGATTCTCTCTTACTTCAAAGAGGGAAACCCATAAAGGTTACCCTCTGCCCCCATTTTAGTATGGTAAATGGAATTGATAGAATATCCAGCTAGGAAGAAGCAATACTCAGCTAGGAAAAAGCAATAATACCAGTATGGAAGCTATTCGTATTTCATGTGTTCAAACACAATCTTCAGCAAGCTCAAAACATACAATCACTTTGAAATGCATACTTATAAAGCCTATTTTAAACCCTAGGGGGAAAAAAACAAAACACCATTATTTCCATTATTTTAAACACTATTTACCCAAGTGCAGCAGCTGTTTTAAAATAAGAAAAACATACATTGTCAGGTTTTTCAGTAAAGTACAAGGAAATTTGTAGTATAACCAGATTTTTTAAGTGTAGACTTGCTCTCTTCCTTCTGTTTGAGGCTTTAAAAAAAAATTCCCCTGGATACCTGATTGGCTATTATCCGTATCCTTTCTATTTGAGTCCAAAGAGTGATCACAGATTGATATGTTTTTTTTGGTATATTGGCTAATTTTAAAACATCAACAAGAAACAGGGTGAACAAAGCTATACTGGTCCAGCAGGTGGTAAAGATCCAAAGTGAAATAAATCAAAAAGGATGTGCAACAGTTGCTGGTACTATTATCTCAACCCATTTATGATGCGAATGTTGATACTCTAACTATCAGTTTCATTAGATGTTACTATTCCTCAGTGCAGACTGCTTTGAAGTGAAAACTCCCTTGATGTACAGCCTTAGAAAAAAATGTTCTTAGCTAAAATAAAATACCCATCACCACACAAACTAATGCTTCTGGTTACATTTCTTCGTTTCAAAAATGTAGTTAAAAAAAAGTTTATCATTAACATGCTTGCTTCTAACAAGTTGGTAAAAAGCATTCATTACTTGTCCCTGTTCACCATGACCCATAAAAGACTCTTTAAAGGCAACAGTTCTCCATGGGGGAATCATTATTGTACACAGGAAAAGTAAAGCCCCCCGTCCCCCACCCCCCTCTATTCCTTATTCCTTCTACATAAAAAGTTGCACAACTGAAACTCATTGCCAGTTAAATTAATGGGATGGATTTGATTGGATTGTACCTTTTAGAGCATGCAATGGTATTTGGTGAACATCACATTCTGTTCCTAAGAAGGAACTATACAATTTTTAACTTTTTTTTTTTTCTTTCTTTTTACCATGCAACTTTAAGGAGTTAAATCCAGTTGACCAGTTCCTCCTGCAGGAGACAGTTTCTGTTCTGAATAATTTGCTAGAGCAGCCCTCTGTATATATTGACAATGCAGTTCATTTTGTCCAATTTATTGCAGGTATTGCTCATGATTCATTCACACAGGAATGAAGACCCCACCATCTGTGGTGCTGAAGAAGTGTTTAAAGTCCCAGGCTCTGGAGACACACCATGGCATACTGTAAACAGAGCAGGGACCAGATCAGGACCAGAGGTACAGAGCCACATAAACCTCACGCCTGCTTCACAGCACAGAAACAGCCATAGAGACATCACAGCTGCTGACCTACAGGTTGCAGGAAGGAAAGTTAGTACTAACTATTACTCTGTGCCTTTTCACTAAGAGCAAGCAGTAGGGAATAGTGGCAGCATTGCTCTTTGCCAAGAGCCAGCTTGACTGCATGGCCGGGAATTACCTGCACCGAGAGGAAACAACTTATTCATCACTAACATCAAGTACTAAAGCAAAAGAGTACCTTGACTGACTCATGATCCATTTTTTATTCTTCCCAGGATAACAGAATTATGTGCTGATTCAGAACAGCTGATTCAGTCCTGTGTAATCTTAGCAATTAACCTCTGTATTCTTAGTTGTTCAACTGTGTATAGCTTGACAGGTAAAGTTTTGTGTTTTATTTTGAAAAAATATATCCTCAGATGTTCAATATGTTTTGTGGTACAACACAAGAAGTAAAGCAGAGGTCACACTAATTCAAAACATGGCCTTCAAACTAATATTTTTTCCTATACATGTTCCCAGAACTCTGCTTAGATGACTGCTCCATGTGTAAGTAAAGCAAACCCAAATAAACATTAACCAGGCATTACCTTTTCCCATACCTCATATTCACAAACACAGGGAGATAATTTCTAATGAACTTATTACTTCATTAAAAGAAACAATGCACAGGTGAAACTATAAAGTCATCTCCAATCTCCTTTCCACACAGAAAATGTTAGCAATTTTGATTCAAATAAAAATGGAGTATTCTGAACTCAAAACTTTTCCTTCTTTTCTGATGCCTTCTTATAGTTCTCTGGCAATACCAATATCTAAGTGTTTATTATGTTGCTAAAGTTAATTTATAACACATCGTAAAAAGTTCCTTGATGTATTCACTCCTCTATGATAGAGTTTCCATTGCTCTTTTTTTTTTTTTTTTTGGATTATTTCTACCTTATTGATTTCTAGCAGCCAGTTTCTATGTTTCACAAGATATGCTCTGCATGTCTCAATGAAATAAGTGGCCTGCATGCTCTTGTAGAGTTAAAACTAACAGGCTTGCAAGCTTTTGGCATTTCTGTAGAGTGGCAGCCCTTAATGTCTTTCAGCCTCATCCTCCTTGACATGAACGTAGTTGCTGCTGACCTTCAGAGGGATGTAAACCATAATACTGAACTGCTCTTTTGAACAGGATAAATCCAACATCATAAGGCTTCCCCCACTGCTGAACCCACAAATTGTCAACTAACTCTCCAAAATACTGCAAATCTACCTTTATTTGGGAATTGAACAAGGGAGATGAGTGTGGGACAACGTCCACTGGGGACTATATAGGGTTTTGGTAGGGAGATGCTATAGAAAAGCATATACATCATGAAAGTCTAACACTTAACATGATCCTTGACTTCTCTGAGGCTTTAGTTATACCAGAGATGTGTTTCTCTCTTATTTCTAGCAGATAATTTCCAACTCAGTTTTTACTTGTCTTCTTATACACTTGTACTGGCAGAAGTCTCCTTAATGCACAATTAACCACAGATGGCAGGGCTCCAGCCTCAGATGTGAGATTGAGATATAACAAATAAATTTTCCAGTACCCTAAAGCAGAGCTGCATAAACTTGTTTTCATAGTGAGTACTACTTTATGTATGTAGCTTGAAAGGCAAAGCCACTCTAAAAAAGTACGCAGGAAAGTATAAAGTGATTGCACATTAAAGCAACAAGTCTTTCCATACTCATTTTAACTCTGGATTTATTGACATCATTGACATTGACACCAAAACCAACTTCCTCAGGATCCATCAGTAAGAAGATTATGATTTACATATTTAAAATCGAGTTTTAAAATACTTCCGTTTTTCTTTTCATTTAATATCAGAAGAACAACTGTCTCCCAAATCAATCAGAAAATTAACAGTACATGATCTAAATACAGGTAACCTAGATGGGAGGAGTTATTTGACTGTGAAGGAAAAAGCCATAATGAAATGTTTTCCTCTGGGCACACCAAACCCTTCCGTTTAAATAAAACAAAGCATTGTGTTTTATATATATTAAGCTCCTACTCAGGTCTCCCTCTAGAAATCTGCACCTAATAAATTTCAATCTGTTTTTACTGTTATGTTGCTTAAAAACATAATTTATTTTTTCTCTAGAAAACAGCTTTACAAATTAGGACAAATTATGCTTACGTTAAGAATTTCATAATATACAGTGAGGAAAACAGTCAAATAACTCACTGCTTACATTGCATACTAGTTACTAGTAAAGGAAAGAAAACAATGGACAACAAAATTAGCCTGCAGTCCACCACAAAGTGTTTAACACTTATTATTTTTATGAAGCCTTATTGCATCAGTTTTGAAAACGTATCTGAACAAACTACTGATAACAAAACTACGTATCAAGCAATAAAACAGTACTCCTCTCACCAACACCACGCTGAGTGACAAACAGGAGATTTTCTTGATTTGGAAGGAACGGATTCATTTGTTTGTTTGTTTGTTTGTTTGTTTGTTTTTAAAGTAGGCTGAGCAGTAACACCAACAAATTTAACAGCTCTCACCAGAAAATTCATATCCTGGGATAGAAGCTTGCCTAAGAACCACTGTCAGCTGCCAAGCACAGACCCAGGTTACATAACCACTATTGCTGCTGCAGAACAACCTGCAAGACTTGTGCTCAAAGCAACGTGCCAAGTGTGGAATACCTGGTTTTTATGTTGCTAAATAGCAGCAATCTGTAAAAATTCAGCAGTAACTGGGAATTTGGTCAAGAGACCTTTCTCCCTCTGAGTCAGAAAACTCAAGGTGTACATGTATAGCCTGAATACAATGTAGATTTTAAAACGTTAAATGTTTCTCTAAAAAAAAAAAAAAAAAAAAAAAAACAAAAAACAAAAAACAGTCTACTCTGCAGACACAGACATGATCTCATGATGGTATCATTTGCACTTATGAGTAAGTACCAGTTACACTACTGCTAATTTATTCTTACCAGTTGGTTGGATCATAGATCAGCATCACCAGTGTCCTGCCTAACAGTGTAAGAGCAACATCTGGCAAACGTAGAGATTTAAAATAATTGACGGAAATATAGCAGCTCAAAAGTGACTGAAGGTCTGGCACCTTTTCAGTTGTCAAATAAAGCCTTATCTTAATTACAGGGTTTGGGTTTTTCTCTGAGCTTAGAGGGATTTTTTTTCGTCTATAGCTACTGAATCCCAACTGTTACAGGATTACCTTTTCCTATCTTAATACTCTAGGCAACGCAGCTATAGAGAAGCCGCCGCTTGAGAAGAGGGAATATAGAAAGGATCGTTTTCAGAGGTAAACAACATAATGAGCTCCAATTCTGCAAGTAATACAGAGAATACTCCCATGAACTTAGAACCACTGGTGTTTGCTTTTCTGTAAGCATCATTTCAGTTTATATAACTGCTAAATTTGTTAATTAAAATCAGCACTCAACAAACCTAAGGAAGTAAAAGGATTGTAGCCTGTAGCATTTCATGAACCAAACAGAACATCACACTAATCAGCTGATCCAGGTTTTTAATTCCAATTTCCTCAGTCTCATTCTGTTAGACCAATTCTGATATCACTGTCATCCTGCTGGTATCTACTGACACATTCAAGATTCATACCAACGTGCAAATAAAGCATCCCAATGGAATTTCCTTCACTTGAGAAAATTAGGAATAACTTGATGATGATAAGAGTATCTCTGTTCACCTCTGTTTTTGAGCAGAAGACATAGTATGAAAGGACAAAATGCAGAGAAGATTTATCCTTCCTTTGGAATGCCAATTCATTTGATTTGAACAAGACTGACAGTGATTTCCTACATGCTATACAACACAACTGATTTTGTTTTTCAATTGATAATGAATCATCTATATAGCCTAAACATGTCAACACCACTTATCTTCTTTGCCTTTCCACATCCCAGTCAAGCACACCTAAAACTTGCTTTTTATTAAAAAAAATAATAAAATACAGTTCTGATTAAAGTAGCTACAATATTAATAGAAGATGACTTCTCCCTCATCTCAAAGATACTAACATATGATATTATACAGTGTTGATACAACATTGAACTCTATAAAGTCATGTCATATCACACCAAATTTCACAAAACTACATGCCATATCATCACAACACATTTTACTAATTTCTTGGAAAACACTACATTTTTAATATGTCCATAGCCACAAAGAAAGGAATTTATTTTACTTGACAGACAGTAGGCTTTATGCTCTATTGCCAGCATTGTAAGTGTTCATGACTGTTTACGAAATACATTTTCCCCATTCCTCCATTCTCGGGGGTTAAAGAAAAATTAAGCAATGCAAAGTTCTACAGTCTGCAGAAAAATGAGATGTGATTTTATTTTTTGACAACACTGGGCTTCAGAAGATGATCATTAGTTTCAATCTTTATTTTCAGATCTTATTCTCTCAGCTCCTTACAAATCATTAAGAAAAATGTTGTCTTCACCACAGCACAGGCTTTTACTATGTGAAACTATACCGCACTAGCTTCTACAATGTATTTGGACTCAAACATGAAATGACCATAAGACAGTGGTATTACAGCCCATTCAATATAACTTTTGCTAAAGAGAATTAAACCTCATTCTCAAAGTCAAGACTCCAAGAAGAGTTTATAGTTCATTTGCTTAATACTAAAATTAATAATCTGCCTTCAAGCTGAGATCTACTGAAACAGAAAATAAGAGTCTTCCTATGAAGCATCTTCTAGAAGTTATGTATGGAAACAAACAAACAAAAAAAAGTACGCAGTAGAGTACTTTTCCCCAGAAAAGTACCTAGTCTAACTTCAACATACCCAATAGAGTTTGGGAAGACCGGTTAAGCCACAACAAAGCAGAATTTAGAGGCATTACATTTAATAATTGAGGAAAGACAACTAAATATCCCTCTGCAGTAAAATGTGTCCAGAATTCATTCATAGGCTATGTACCTATTCTGACCTTCACAGAAGAAAATCTGGTACGCAGGAGGTCAATATAGGCTTTCACTGAAGTAAAACTTGATTTTACAAATCAGAAACATTAGGAGGAAAAAGTGGCTTGCCAGAAGAGAAATTGCATATTATTTTAGTTGAGGGGGGAAAAAAAAGAATGATTTGGAATGTTATGATCATAAAACATTCTTCTTACCCTTAACTTCAATTGAAATGCATCGTGTGTCCTCCCTTCATACTTGGAAGGCACCCCAAATGCTTTGAAGTTCATCAGCCTAATGAGGAAGTCCATATAGCTCAGGCAACTGCTGAATACTTAGCAGCTCTTGAAAAGGAGAGTCATTTATAAATCTAAAGGGACAGTTATTCAGACACAAATATAAATTCACTTTCTAGCTTTGCTACTGACATGACCTGTTGGACTCCAAGCACAAAATTTAAATATAACATGGAAAGGTATTAAAGAAGTCTTTGTTTTGTTTCACTACAGCAATGAACATGATATATATACAGCAAGAGCAAAGCTACAGCTTTTGTCAAATTTTTGTACTCTTGGCATCAGATGAGTGCAATTACTGCACTATCTGAATGCTGTAAGGATTTCAACACGACTAGAAGCCTGAATAAAAGAATGCACTTTTTAAACAAGCTTCCTTTTTTAAAAATAACGTTTTAATGAAAAATAAACCATATTTACCCTATTATATAACTATATAGCTTTATACAAGATTTGATCCCCTACTGAATGCCATAGGCTTAGACAAAGTTCCATGATCGAAAAATGAGTAAAA